CTGATTAATTATCTAGAAAAATATTGCAGATTTGGAATTATCCAAAACTAATTTCATTGCTGACAGAAATTGAGAAATTTCATCTTGCCCCAAAAATAAATAAGTAAATAATGAAATCAAATTTTTTACTTCATTATACTGCCATTGAGCCTTGGTGGTTAGAGTGCAGTACTGCAAGCTGCTTCTGCTGTCTGCCATCTGCCTGCAATTTGGCAATTCAAATCCCATCAGGCTCAAGGTTAACTCAGCCTTTCATCCTTCTGAGGTAGGTAAAATGAGAATCCAAATTGTCAGCAATAGGCTGCTTCTGTAAACTGTTTAGAGAAGGCTGTAAAGCACTGTGAAATTATATATAAATCTAACTGCTATTGCTATTGCTATACTGCCATTGTGATTGGCTGATCTAAACATTAATATCATGCTTTATCATGAGTTTTATGTATTCAGAAATTGAACATTAGAGGAGCCTAAAGTTCACAGACAGACAGACAGACAGACAGACAGACAGACAATAAAAGCCTGACCTTTGTTTTTGGTTGGTACTAAAATTTACAAACTAAAACAAAATGTTATGACATTTGAAATGCTCCAAGAAATTTTTTGAACAATGGGATCAGAAATTGGTTGCTACAATGATATCTGTTTCTACAGCTAGACTAAGTCCAAAAGTTGTTAATGAAGGAATGACAGATGTGAATGAATATTTTGAAAGATTTACAACATAAATAAGTGAAACAAAATTAAATGACAGAAATATTAGAATCAGAAATAGTGAAAATAAAGAAGCATGGAATATACAATAAGATAGATAATATAATTAAAGTAGAAACAAGCAAAAGAATCACTTGGATAAGCATTATCTAATGGACCTACAAAAGAAGCTAGTTAAAGCCTTGAAAGTTAAATGGGAAATACAAATGATAAACTAAGGGAGTGCCACCTGGCACCTGGTTAATGACTCTTTATTAGATTTACAAAAGTGGTTTACTAAATCATTGAAAAAAAATTAGGACGGGAAAAACTGACGTGAGATCAGAGCCTGCAACAACATCTGAATGAATTAAGTTCAAGATTATTAGAAGTAAAAGGAAGGAATATTAAAGTTGGTTTGTTTGATCAAAGTTAAGAAAAGATATGTTTTTATAAAGCTCTGGTAATCTTTTACAAACTTTTTGCTGATACCAAATCTTTATTTCTTCTTTCTATTTCTCTTTTTGAATTGCTTAATTTGTACTTGTTTTTATCATTATAACCAACATTGTAAATTATTTTAAAAAGTAATTAAATTAAATTAAAACTAAGCTGCTGTACTATATTTAAGTGCAGGTATAGAACAATCATCACTGTCAATAAAACATAATATATCATCACAACATATAATAACAATAAGAATTTGTATTCAACTGTTTTAGGCCCAAAGATCCTATGGTTTCCTGATAAGAGATGTCAGTGGTTTCAAGATCAAATTAAATATAACAGAACATAAAGGACAATCCTGATAAGTTCCACAAAACTTCTTGAAAGTGAGGGAATAATTCCAGTTACAATAATGTTGTCTGAAACTTTCCATATATCTGTTGTCTTCAATTAATTGGTAACTCCCTATGGATTCATTCATACACGCACACACATACACACACACACAAACATACAAACAAACAAACACAGGGAGTATGTATTTACTTATGCCTGTATTAATAGTGTGTTGTATTTTAAAAATTTTGTGACTTGATCTTGGATCATAAATAAACAGTTCAATAAGTTCCACAAACCCATCCCGCCAAATTCAATAATAATTTCATATTGTCTGAAGCTTGTTGCACTTTTATTAAATTAAATAGCATATAATGAACAATTAAAAGGCCATTTTGGCTGTGGTCCACACACTGGGGTTGCTGTCAAAATTTTTAATCAGAATCAACTACTAATAAGAAAATCGGCCAGAAGCAATCAACAGCCTTCCAAACCGTTGTTTTAAAAAGCCTCATTAAAGCTAAAAAAATGTGACTCAAAAGTGAACCATTATAAACTTCCAATACAAAAAAAATATTTGTATGTTTCATGCCAATTAATATGCTAGTCATTGTACTGGCAGCTTTTTCTTTTTTCAAAAATAGTATCTATTCTACCTCAAAGTGACAAAGATGCAGTTAGATAAAAGGCTTAGCCATGTATAATCTTCAAAAGAGCTACATTGTTAAAAAATATTAATTTCTTCCCAAGTAACCTTTGACTCAACATTATATAGTTATATTTGGGGGAAAAAAGTCTATGTTTGGAATTATTTTATACTTTGTTCTAACTATCTTTAAGATTAAAAATATTCTTCATGGTTACTGTTTCTTTTTAGGGGCAAATAATTTATCATTCTTTCCTTCTGTTCCCAATATCTTTGTTTTATGCAATTCAATGAATATTCAATACCATACACATAGAAAGGATTAAGTTCTAATTTAGGAGACATAAAAGATCTGGTGTAAGTTGCACATATAGTTGCTTAATTTTACTTTCCAAATATTCTTGTTTAGAGTTTTTCCCCATGAAGTATATGAAAAAATACAACCTTTAATAACAATGCATTAAAAGCAGCCCAGACTGTTATTTTAAAAACTATCTGAATATTGCTTTTATATATCAAAAAAGAAAAAAAAGGAACAGAAAAGGGAGGAAGGAGGAAGGAAAGGAAAGGAAAAGAAAGGAAAGGAAAGGGAAGGGAAGGGAAGGGAAGGGGGAAAAAAACCCACAATTCTTTTTAAGCAGCATCTTGGGGAAAAGGGACGTTTTTTCCTTATAATAATTGAGAGTGTTATTGAAGCGTGACCAGAAATTGCATTTTGAAGTCAAAAAGATATGCACTCAGATGAACTGCAGAAGTACAGATTAAGAGATAATTATATTGCTTTTGAAGCAGGAAGAATCAGTGTATTTAAGAAGAGGGTCATTTGTGTCCCCGTGACATGGGTTAATTTGAACAACATATGCTTTGCTTCAGTTGGTATCTTTCTATGAAATGCATAGAATTAGAGCTGCTGGGATAAGAGAATGTTCAATGAACTGACTGCAAAATAGATTTTGGTTAGCTATCTAAAGATACTTTATAATTCTATGCACAAAATGAACAATACCAATGTTGTGTAAGGCAGTTGCAGAATTTTCTCTTGCTGAGGTAGAACAAACTCATTGCAAAGTAGATACCCTCCCTCACATTTCTAATTGGATCTGGAGACTGACAGAGAAACAAAATTAGCAAGTTAATCTTATATAAAAGAAGAAAAGAAGAAGATTAACATTAACTAGGAACATTAAGCAAGGTAGTAATTATCTAAATGCACAGTAACAGACATGGAGTTGTATTTAATGCTGCTTGTCAAGAGTGGAAATCATTAGGAAAATGGCTTTTTCTTCTAAAACATGCTCCAGAGTATTGGAGTGACCTCCAGAAGTAATTTGGGAGACCTCTAGGAAATAGAAGATTAAGTGATATTGGATTAGGTTCACTGTGCTTTTTTAAAAGAAGCTATCTCATTTTCTAGTTTTGGCCCCAATAGATATTGGTGGGGTCTTGAATGGTTTCATAGTCCTCACTGAACAGACTCCAATTCTATTTAATTTAAATTAGGAAATGTAAAAGACAGTATGATTTTCATTACCTGCATGGTAATGATATTTAATATTTAATATTAGTAGTGCATATTTAATATTAGTAGTGAATCAGTGAGAGACTCAGATAGAAGATAGACAGACAGACAGACAAACATGCACACGCACACGCACACACACACACCCCTCTCTGAAGGGAGAAAGCCTTCACATATATGTGTAATGGTATAAGGTGAATGGTACCCTTCATATTTATGGCTGTACTTAGAAGATGACATTTTCCTTTGTACTTGTTAAGTGTTTTACTTGCAGATACTCATAGACGGTACTGCAAGGAACATATGATATCCTATGGGAGCCACATCATTCCCAATTCTTAGTTTCAGATTTGGGAATGAAAAGTACCTTAATATGATTCTTGGTTTTATTGCTTGAAATTCATCACAAAATAAGGGGTGAGCAGAATAATGAATGTTACAGAAACCCATATTCAGATACATCATATGCAAATTTGCAGAGAAAAACTATCAGACAGTTGAATTCAACAATGACATATGGTTGGCCATGGTTCTATTTGGTCTCTGCCTACTTGGTTCTCCGTATCTTTTTATTACTTGGACAATTACTTATTGTTAACCATTTATTAATTACTGTTCTAATGTAAATATTTGTTTGAAATTGCCATCATTGATGTAAAAAAAAGCTATGCTTGGCCATACTTTTTAACTGGATCCAACTCTTATTACGGATTTTATCTGAGTAAAATCCCAAAAATATCTAAACAGTCTTGGAAGGCCATTGGCATAAACTGAAATTACCATCAATCAACTTTCTTCTTTTTATTAAATCCAGAAATGCAACACAATGTTTTTTTTGCAGGAACAAGTGGTGGCTGGAAGTTGATATTTATTGTTAGGTGTGCTTGGTACATATTAATAAGTTTGATTCAGTATGTATGATTTCAGCAATGGTTGTTAATATTTACTTCACATTAGAGGAATTGATACCATAGCAATAAACAATATTTTGCTCTTGCTTTGTCTGAACTGAGAAACATGGGCCCATGTAAAATATTTTTTGACAGACATTAAGAATAAGAAAGCTGATTAAGCTATATGTTGTATTTCACACTGAAGCAATAACTACATTCTAGTTGTGGCTGAAACAACCATAAAATTAATGGATTACGTGATTCTTAGTGATTTATTTACCACTTTATCAATCTCCATCATCATCATAACCTTCACCTAACTAGAGGAAAAACAACAACAGAAACTTTACGTATAGCTGAAGCACTTACCAATCATTTTTGTCCAAACATTTTCCCCATATCCAGAAGGTAGTTTCAATGCTTTATTTTAAAATGTAATGATTTTATAAGTTACTTGATTTTCACCTACCTTTTCAGCTGCTTGGGAAGTGCAAAAAAATATTGGAATGAAGGCAAGCCATACTATACATGTAGTGTACATAGTGAATCCAATGGGTTTGGCTTCATTAAAATTCTCTGGGACACCCCGAGTCTTGATGGCATAAACAGTACATGTAACCATTAGGAGAATGCTATACCCCAAAGAGCATATTATTTGTAGATCCGTAATGTCACATTTGAGAACGCCTCTGGCTTGATCTGGTTCCATAGATTTATGTTCATCATAATCTATAATACTGTTTGGTGGATCAACAGCAAACCAAATGAAAACTCCAAGAAGTTGTACTGATATAAAACTTGATGTGATTGCTAATTGTGATGTTGGACTAATAAGCCTGGGTGCTGTCACTGATTTTTTGCCCTGTTCGAATATGCGATAGATACGGTTTGTTTTAGTCAACAGAGCAGCATAGCTTATGCACATTCCCAATCCTAGGAAGATCCGCCGGAAAGAACACACGGCAACATCTGGCTTGGCAATCATCAAGAAAGTGATGATATAACACAGAAATATTCCTGTCAACAAAACATAGCTAAGTTCCCTTCCAGAGGCCCTCACAATGGGAGTATCGTTGTACCGAATGAAGGTTGCCATGACGAATATGGTGGCAATAATTCCAAGCATGGCTAGAAAGACTGGGATGACCGCCCAGGGTGAATGCCACTCCAACTTTACAATAGGGATAGGGCTACATCCTGTGCGATTCTCATTCGGCCGTTGACTGTAGGAGCACAGCTTGCAGCTCACTTCATCAAACTGGTATTGGTAACCATCACACAGCTCACACTGCCAACAGCAACTCATCCCTTTCATAATCCTTTTTCGTTCTCCTGGTTTACAGGGAAGACTGCAGACTGAAGAAGGGGTTTTCTTCACTCCTTTGCCCCATTGCATTTCATCCATCTAAGAGTAAAAGAATATAGAATACATAAGACTGCTTATCTGGAAGTAACTATCAAGCATGCCTAGTGGATTGGTAAGTTGATTAACAAGGAGAAATGAATATGAATACATTGGAGTAAAAAAGAGATGGTACCAGCCAGGAAGAAAATGAGAACTGTTGCTGAGGGAGTAAGAAATAGAAATAAAAACTCCATGAACAAGCAAATACTAAAGGAAATAAAGGTTATTACTATAGGGAAATAGTATGAAAATAGTTTCACTGGAAACCCATATAATTGGAAAAATGCATTTTCTCCTATTAGCATAGCATTCCTTGCATTATTATAGTATTATTCCCTTGTGACCACAGAGCAAATATTTGGATAGCAGGCATAATCCTTTAGAAGACAAAAAGTCCATTTTGTAGAATTTGCTTGAAGTGTGGCCATAGTTTAATGAACAGTGAAGCCTGGATAATCATGACTCGTAAAGCTTTCTTGAAAGAGGCCTTTATCATTTCTTTCCAAATCCTGAATTAATTCTTTCCCAACACTGATGTGTCTACTCCCCATCCCTTTTCTAAGCACCCTGGAATCACCTATATGTGAGTTGGCTGGCTACACAAAGTTGTGTAATAAATAATTAAAATTGGAAGCACATTTTGATGTATGCATGTAGAGCGACCCACATTGTGTCCCCCCACCCCACTGGAAAGATCTGAATGACAGCAACATGGCTGAATCTCCCCATCCCTTATCTATATTAAACATATTATTTCAACATGGCTATATCATGTTGAAATAATATGTGGTGGCTCAGTGGCTAAGAGGCTGATCTTGTTGATCAGAAAGGTTGGCAGTTTGGCAGTTCAAATCCCTAGGACTGCGTAATGGAGTGAGCTCCTGTTGTGACCAGCAAGTCCTCACTGCGGTTCGCTGTTTAAGTGGGAGCCGGAGAAGCCTCTGATTGGCTGAACTGTTTGACAGCTCTGTATAAAAGGAGCTGTCAAACGGAATCAGCTGTCTCTCTCTCTCAGCTGCTACCGCAAGCTGAGTTACAAGTTAACAATAAAGCCAGTTAAGCTTTATATTCCCTCCGCCTCTTCTCAGCGTGCCAAACTCAAAACTGGCAACAAGGGTGAGATTGCTGACAAACTGAGGCAATTCCTGAGGCAAAGAGAGAGAGCACCACATGGCTGAAGTCACTACAAAAAGAGCTGTCACTAAGAGCTGTCAAACGGTTCAGCCAATCAAAGGCTTCTCTGGCTCCTGCTTAAACAGGAGTGATGACTTGCTGGTCGCAACAGCTCTCATTGCTTGTCCCAGCTTCTGCTAACCTAGCAGTTTGAAAGCATGTAAAAATGCAAATAGAAAAATAGGGACCACCTGTGATGGAAAGGTAACAGCATTCTGTGCACCTTCGGAATTTAGTCATGCTGGCCACATGACCACAGAGATGTCTTCCGACAAGCGCTGGCTCTTCGGCTTTGTAACAGAGATGAACACTGCCCCCTAGAGCTGTAAATGACTAGTATGTATGTGTGAGGGGAAAATTTACCTTTATTTTTTATATTAAACACGTGTGTCTAGGATTTTGATTTTATTTTTAAACAAAGATCTCCAGTTAATATAGCTGCTGCCTGTGGCAGTCCCAGGCAGAGTGAAAACTGATCCAAATTTTTAATCTTTTTTCCTGAAGTGCCCTACTATATGTTAAATAATGAGTTCCACTGAGTTCCATTTACTAATACTACAGATTTACACTGAGTGACATTGAAAAGATGATTGATAGACATCCAAATTTCCTCAGAACTCACAATGGACTGAACATTCTGTTTCAGAATAAGGATTTATTTGTCTTTGTACGTGCAGACTTTTTTTCCCAAGTCACATTATAATACAGTCTGGCTAACAGAGACAATGACTAGAACAAAAATTGCTTTGTTCTTTTCTACATAAATTGGCCGTGTATGAGTTTCAAAAGAACAAGATATTATTCACTGTGGGCAAAATGAAACCTAGCGAATTGCAGTTGTATGTCACATTCCAAGGCAACAATGAAAAAAATAGTTAGAGGGAAACCTCTAAAAGTTATTTTTAAATATTCTTGCAGTATATGCTAGCTAGGTACTTTGAATAGAATAGAGCTGGAAAGGTACCTTGGAGGTCTTCTAGTCCAACCACCTGCTCAAGCAGGAGAGACTATACCATTTCAGAAAAGTGGGTGTCCAGTCTCTTCTTAAAAACCTGCAGTGATGAAGCACCCACAATTCCACTGGTTAATTGCTCTCATTGTTAGGAAGTTTCTCTTTGGTTCTAGGTTGCTTCTCTCCTTCATTACTTTCCACCCATCATTTCTTGCCTTGCCTTGCCTTCTGGTGCTTTGACTCTCTCTTCTATTTGGAAGCTCCTCAAATACTGGAATGCTGCTATCTTAATAATTATGTCTGCCTTATTAATACTGCTATTCATTAGGTCTGGCACAAGAGGCACACTTTTGGTTCCATCTACTAAAGAATATGACTTCACATTTCTGTCACAGATGGATATTATATTATGACCTAGTGATACTTGTTTCATAATTCTTCAGATTTTGGGGTTCTGCAGATGCTCTAGGATCAACCAAATCTAAATAAATAAATAGATGAGTAAGATCTCTCAAACATATCTTGTCACTAGAAGATACACTCTAGAGTTACTTTTGCTACCACATATTCATACTTGAAGAATTTGGGTTTACCTTTGCTACCAATAGTCCCTGATGCTCTATTCAATTAGATTATATGAAGCAGCAACAGGGAGATGAATGGATAGTTAGCCTCACTACTACATACACTACAGTCTATACAGGTTGTAAATAAAGAAATCTGGCTTTCAGTATAGACAGATTTAATATTTAGTACTTTTTTCCCCAACATTTTCTAAGCAAAATCTTCCTGGAACATATCATTTCTGGCAGGCCCATCCCCCCCCCCTTATTTTTAATGCACCATATCTTCAAAAGATGAACTAGAGAATATGGAAAAGAGAAAGAACCTGATATACGAGTGGCACACTTTTATTTACAATCTCATGTAATATTAGATGAGCTGCACGATCTCAAAAAAGTTGGCAACAGTCAGGTCGTTTTATTTTTTTTGCCATACATGCAAGCAGGAGGACAAAATAAATGAGCGTGTAGATTCGCTAAAAAAAAAAAAAAAAACAGATTCTTCTAACTCTTTCACTGTTCAATATGTCCATGAAAATAAAAGCCATTTCCTTTGTACTGAACATAGTCAGGGTGGATTGTTGTTTGACACTGACAATGGTCATTACAATCATGGGTTCTCTTATGTGAGATTGGCAGCTTTTACCTGCCAATAAGCAGGCTGCTGCAATCTGCACCATTTGCATTGTCTGAATGGTATTCCAAGGCAGCCCCACGTAAAGATAACTGTAGCAGACAAGCGTTTCTTAAAGTGTGCTCCTAGGAACCCGAGAGGTCTCCCAAGACCCACTCAAGGGTCCTCACAATAAAAAAAATATATTTGCCAACCTATATTATGTTGAAAAGTAATACAATATTAATAATCTCATCAAATAATCATGTGAAGTGGGAGCAGCAGAGAATACATCAATTTTAATTTTTAATACAGTAAATATCGATAAATATAACCCATATAAATAATAACTCTTTGGGGAACTTTTAAACATGGGTTCTAAGAGAAAAATAATTAAGAAAGGCTGCAATCAACAATTGCAATCATCAGTCAGAATAGAACAGAACAACAGAGTTGGAAGGGACCTTGGAGGTCTTCTAGTCCAACCCCCAGCTCAAGCAGGAAATAATCCAACCCCCAATAACATTTCAGACAAATGAGATTGGTTATCCAGTCTCTCTCATTCTTCATCCAGTCCAGGATGAAAAGTGCATGATGCATTTTTTTCTGGCAGTCTAGAGTTTGCTTTTTAAGATAAGGTAATGAAAATCCAGGTCATCTCTATGGTACGAATGTGTGATGTTTTCCTTATGTAAAAAGCTCTAAGAATCACCATATACAGGTGGTCCTCAACTTACAACCACAATTGAACCCTACATTTCTGTTGTTAAGTGAGACATTTGTTAATGCCCCATTTTATGACCTTTCTTGCCACAGTTGTTAAGTGAATCCCTGCAGCTGTTTAGTTAGTAATCTGGTTGTTACGAGAATCTGGCTTCCCCGCTGACTTTTCTTGTCAGAAGGTTGCAAAAGATGATCATAGGACCTTGGGTCATAAATATGAGTCTGTTGCCAAGCATCTGAAATTTGATCACATGATCATGGGGATGCTTCAAAGGTTGTAACTGTGAAAAATGGTCTTAAGTCATTTTTTTTCAGTGCTATTGTAACTTTGAAGAGCCACTAAATGACCTCTTGTAAGTCGAGGATTATCTGTAGTATCTCTCATTTTATACAAAGTCCTTCCTGCAAAGCTTTGTTAAGATAACATTAAAATAAAAATAAGTTTAAGAAGTTTATTATATGTTAATTAACACACTATGGGCAAAACTAACTTTCGGAGTAGGTTTTCACCAGATGTGTGCCAATATGATAGTTCCAATGAAGCTGTTCTTTGACATATTTACTTGCCTTGGAGTGTTGCTTGATATGGATCTATTACTTGTAACCCTGACATTAAACCTACCCTGAAAGGCCCCAGCTATCTCTAATCCCCCCTTCCTATTCCTCAGCTCCAGTGTGGCAGCAATGAAGCTCCAAGATGGCTTTGGCCAGGCCAGCTTCAGGGTTGACACTAACCTTTCTCCTCATGCAGCTCCAATTGTTCCCTTTAGTTGTTTATCAGTAGCTAATCTGAATTCAACAGAAATAATAGGAATATCCATTGAGAATTGTCCTCATATTTATTATCATGCCATTTGTTTCCCGTTACTAAGTCAGAAGTTCCAAGACTTTTAATATATATAGTTTGATAGACAACAATATTTTTATGACTTTGACCCTCAAGCTTATGCATTAAATAATGTAATTATTATTTTTT